ACTTTAGTCACGTGTTGTTTTTCCACTTCTCTCTCTCACTATTTTTTGAGTTTAATTTTCATGCGTTATTTCTGACATTTCTCATATGTGTATTATATGGTTTATAAGACGTATATATTATTTGTCATCGCGGTGACAGGTTGTGTTCACTGACAACACGTTAAATAAAAATAACAATAGCGTGCGCGTAGCGCGCGCCTGTGCTAGTTATTTAAAAAATAGATAGTTATGGTTTGTAGTACGTAGCGAGTTTCATTTGATTGGAAATGCTGCAACTTGCCGGAGAGAAAAAGTTTTCTCATATTACACTACCACCAACAGATTGTTAATCAACCGGAGTGAATTGAGCTTTATACTTTTATACAGAGAGAAACTTATACAAAGTCACTTTTCTATATTTTAGTTCTGAATGGTACTTAGTACGCATCTCAAACATTCGTTCAAAATCAGATAAAATTCTGACCGAGAGAGAGAGAGAAAAGCGCCAGATACTTACAGAAGGAGCTAATTCTGCAGCCGCAGTTTGTGTGTGAATGACAGAATATATAACCGCGTATTTGAGAATATCTTATTCTCATTAAGTTGAAGTGCACTTCTTACCTTCGATCGATTAATAAAATATTATAATAGGTACGAGAGTTAAGTGCGTTTTACTTCAGAAATATTTTTAAAGCACGTTCCTTCGACTATGCGCGTTGTAACGTTATCGTCACAATATTGAACAACGTAACAAAACAGTTTGTCAAAGTTTCGAAATGCCATCAAAGTTTGATCTCATAAATTTTTTCTCGTGCGTACACGTACGCGGTTAGGATAACAGCATTAGGCTTTTATACACTTACATTGCACAATTTATATATTTAATATCTGACGTTGCACGAAGTTTGTTTAAAAAATACATGTAACGTTACGCTAACATGGATATTTGTGTTCTTCGCGTTAGTATAACGCGGCGTAACATTTTTGTTTTTACGGATATTTTTGACACTTGATCTAAAAACTCGAAGTCGCGACGACCTGTACGAGAGGAATATCGATTGTTCGATTTAATCGTTGTGGAAAATTCTTTCTCACTTTCTCTTCCCGGCGGCGTATTGCCTCATAATAAATGTATGTATGCAGAAACAGACGCGATATATATATATATATACTATCGCTTCACCCACTGGCCCATTTTCGATGGATTTGCATCGATTTGTCTGACCTTAGTTGAAACAACGTGTCATTCTATGTACACTTCGCACTTCTCTTTGAACGAACAAATTACGTACTCGCGTATCGGAGCGCGTAATTATCATTGGCATACGTTGCTTTCGGATATACGCTCTTGTGTAATTATCTCGTCAGGAAATACCGAAGAAGAATCACCGTGCTGTTTTAACATTCCCATTCAATCCGAACCGCGACTGGTGTCTGATGAATAGACGAATAAATGACAGTCCCTTGTTCTTTTCAGAAAATAGCGTACGAGTCTGAACATGAATGCCACCATCTAGTTGGGTAGGTAACACTTGCGCGCCCCGGTTCTTTCGACTACGTATACGCGCCCGTACACATAGGCGCATACATATGTACATGCAGAAACGCCGGACGATTTAGCGCGGTGATCTCGGCTGTGGCGACTGTATTTCCATGGCGTTTCCTTGGTATTTCATATCTATTTTGAGCATTTGCCTCTCCGCCATTGTCTACGAATATTCACCCCCGGCGGCATATGTAAATACGCCTCGCAGCGCGCATCCAATTATGCACCCGTGATGAACGCCACCCTTAACGACTGTAAAGCCCGGGGATGCCAGCCACTCGACACTTATACGCTCGGGAGATTATATCTCGGCCGTGAAATTATTCTCATGGCTCGTAAACTAAGCATTCCCGCTGCACGGGCCATTTCGCGCGTTCTCTTTCTTCGTTCGAACTCTCGAGAAACCCGTTAGAAGAGAGACATAAAAATAAGTGGCGAAACTGAATCTCGCGGTATATACGGCTAAATATTACACTCTCAAGCTGTGTCCAGTTTCTCTCTCTCTCTCTCTCTCTCTCTCTCTCTCTCTCTCTCTCTCTCTCTCTCTCTNTCTCTCTCTCTCTCTCTCTCTCTCTCTCTCTCTCTCTCTCTCTCTCTCTCTCTTTCTCAAGGATACTTATCGTTTGTAGTCTTGATATTTTTTTTACGAGGCCGATGCTACTTATGAAGATAATGTCTCCGGGCTGTGTAATCCGCGCGTGAAAAATAAAATAGGACAACGTCAGATTTGTACATTTGTGGTACAATTTTTTAATTCAAGAGAGAGAGAGAGAGAGAGAAAGAAAAAGAGAAAAAGAGAAAATCTCGTCTCACACACGTAGTTAGTATCTTAATCCGTTTTACGAAAAAAAGAGCAACTACTGCAAACTATTTGCATGAGACATAAGAGGAAAAACTTCGCATTTCACGCGCTTGTCAAAAATCACTCCCTTTATTCCGCGCAAAAATAAGCCGCTTGTATTACTTCTTCACATGATTAAATGGTCACACACAATAGAGGCACAGGACAGTCATAATTCTACGGGAACACGGAAGATTAAGCTGCCACCTTAAATAGAGCGCTTAAGCAGATTATACATTCATAACCTGCAGGAGAGAATGTTACTTAAACGTGCAGGCCACTCCGATATTCAAGACAGACAATGCACCTGGTTTCATTGCATACATCATGGCTACTTCTCTAAGCTCACTCTTTGTAAGAATACGCTCGGGTTTGCTTATTGTGCCACATAAAAACATGTACATTTTTAATATACATGTTTTTATGTGGCACAATAAGCAAACCCGAGCATATTCATACACACAATACATTAAGTACAATCATGTACTTAACAGACATACACAAATGTACACAAATTTCGTGTATTATTATAATCGTGTGCACAATATTATTATATATCAATATATATATAATATAATAAATATATAATATCATCGAGACCATGTCGGTGTAACTAATTTAAACGAGAAAGCTATATTCTTAGAAATCGAATAAAATGTCGATACATATAGAAAACCTGTACACAGATTGGAATACATTTCGATTCGCGTCGAGGTACCAAGGGGAATTCGGTTTGCATGGAATTTTAAAATATCGATATCTCTTCCTTCTCCTTTTCTTCGAATGAAAGAGAGTTGCGGAAATCTCTTCAGCCCAAACATTTCAGATTAAATATTATATAGCTCGTGTGTGAACGATACGTTAATTTTGAAAATGTAATAATAACATATTGCCAGCTGAAATTGATGTAATTATTTATTTATTTGTGTTTTACGTCCGCGCAATAATATTCGCGTTATTTAACAAATTTCGCACATTTTATTTGTAACGTAACGTTTCTTTTACAAATTTTTTTGCGAGAGACAATTAAAATGGTGATTTTACATTAAAAAAGTTTCAGCGATACAACAATCGCGCGCGGTGAAAATCACGTATAACTGCAATATCAATTTTTTTCCCATTTGAATTAATTATGGCAATTAAAAAAAAACAAAAAAGATGTAAAATTGTTACCGTACAGATATATGTGTGTGTGTGTGCGTGAAACATATAACACTCTGGGTAAATTTGTGGTTTGTGATAAAAAGAACATGTGTTCAGTCAGTTTATCTATATCTAACAGGATGTGCATACAATGTCGCGTCTTTCTTCTCGCAATGTGACCAATTACTTTGATCGTGGTTACGAAGATAATGGCATAGCGGTTGAGTGATGCATGATATAGAACAGTATATGACGGACAATAGGCAAAGACTGATCGCAGTTAGTGTGGTAATCACGGCTGTTAATCACTATGCAGGTAATTCAGTTTCACCAGTTAATTAGATTGTATTGCCGGTTTACGCTTATCATGTTATCGCTGTGTTATCGCGTCTCGCACTTTTTCTCGCAAGTTTTTCTCGTTTCAATCATATATTTTACAATTTTAACTCGCAACCACAAATTATATTTTTTGTTTTTTCACAATACGATTCTAAAAGCTGCCATTCCGCTACAAAATTTATTCGGGAATCATCTACGGTCCAATGAAATATTCTATAATAAATTATCAAAAACGCGCGTTTGATATTTCGTGTATCAATAAAATTTCTCGCGCGTGTACGTCGAAATAATATACAAGTGCGAATTTGTTAAGCTGCTCGTGAAAGTTTTGTTAATTTATTAACTGCATTAAAGCCAGTTTAATTTATGTGCAAGTTTACATACCGGACGATATGATTCCTCGGTCACAGACTAATAACCGGTCCGACTGTAATATCCGGTTTGCTGGCCGCGTTACGTTGAGGAAGTAAATTCACTTAACGAGGAATATTCATTTTCGGATTAATTTTCCTCGCTTCTCGTGCCGCTCGTGGTTCATGGAAAAATTACTGTGGCGGCTGTGCAGTCATGATTGCGAACTCTGAAACTGCCGGACTAAGTAATTCTCCTATACCACTTATAAAGGAGCAGATTAAGGAGTTTATTCCCTGATCCGCGTGATTATCTTGAAACTCTGCGGGATGTACGATTTATTTCGAAAAATATGTTTCCATGTATTTTTCTGCGGCGTTGCAGAACGCAACAGTTTTCAACAATATTTCATAATGCGCTGCTTTTACTCTACCAAACATTCAGTTTTCAAAACACACATTTCGCATTTTAAAATGGAAGATAAGTGACACTTTTTTGTGAATCACACAAAATTGATACAACCACATTGTTTGATACAGGCAAAATTAACACGGTGTAATAAATAAAATTTTCGCGAAATGTATCTGGCAAACGTTGTTGCGGTCAAAGCTACCTTATCTATGACCCGATTTGCAGCGAAACAAAGTGCAGCAGTATCAGTGGTACGTGCTTTCAACGAGTTTCGTTTTGCGATATCGAGGCTACCGGAGGCATCGTGTGTAAAGTTTATAAATGGTTGAGTTCGGGAAGAGTTCCCGAAACTGATTAGAACATTTCGCGAGTACTTGAACTTTTCGAACGATGTCACGTACCTGTGATATTATCAGATAATATGTACATTACTTTCGTTACATGTTACTATGCCCTGATATACAGTATGCTAGGGCACTAGCGATCAAAACCTCGCGGAACAGGCCCGGGAGAGAAACTACTCCTCTAGCTCTTAGAGTTCCGCGCTTATTCCGCTAGTTTTTAATAGCTAGTACACGTACATAACACATAGCGATCAAACATTCACGAAATAAGTGACGGGGAAATCCCTTTTCTTGCCTTTAAACTCCCGCATTTCCCGCAAATTTTTGATCGCTAGTGTATATACGTGCAACACAATTTTATTTATATGTAATAAATGTATAATGTACTAATTGATTTATTTCAAATTTATTTTGAAAAAAGAAATAATCTAGATTTATATATAATGCGATATATAATTTGTATTTAAATAATACAGCTTTAATTTCAAAATGTTTCGTATTTATCGTACAATAATATTGGTGTAGAGTAACAGTCCGGATACGAATTGGTCTCGTAAATCTTTTCTCTCTCACATACATGTCGTATATATTATGCTTGAATAATACATACATAGACGTAGAGATACATGTACGCTACAAGGATATCTAATTCACACATCGAGCTGTGACTATAAATTTCTTGAACAACGTGGAATAATGCTCGGATCATGTATGCTGAGAGCTTATTGTACTGTCTATCAAAATCCAAACTCCGCTAAGTAATCTTAAGATATATATATATATATATATATATATATATATATATATATATATATCTATTATGAAATCTGATTAAATTTGCATATATATATTACAGAAACTGAGAAGCGAGATTTGGATTAACACGGAGACTATATACGTGTGTACGTTTACGTTGAAATATTGCAAAACTTAGACTTCGCTTCACTCGAAGTGTGCGAAAGGATGTGTTACATCGAGTGTATTATATAATCTCTCTTTTATATTTTATCTTTGTGCAAATAAATTTTTGAAGTAAAGAATGACATATCGTATTCATGTATTTCGCGGTTACATATATATTAAGTTATATATTTTGTGAACCCTGTGTTTTCCCGCGGAAAATGTCTTACTTTACGTTACATATTGCAGATATAAGATGTGTACGGACCATACACAGCGGCGGCGGTGATGAAGCATGTGATATTCTTGGAAGAGTTATGTTATCCTAAACTCTTTCCCTCTTTTAAAATTTAAAGCATCGTGCTTCTAAGATAAGAAACCGCGTCTCACATAGCGCGAGATCGTCTGATAACCGTTACATAAATCTGAGATAACGTTTATGCAAGAAACAAGATACATATATAAACGGTGCGAAATTACATTTCTAACATTCAGCTTGGATCAACCTGAAATGAATTTGCTTGTGAGGTCCGATGAATCTTGGCAATCTTAAGAGACGATCTTGTCGAATGACTATTGTCCGCAACACAATATGCCATGTTTGCCATGCCAGGGATTACGAGCACACTTTTCTTAAAACAAAGAGTCTCCTGATGGAGAGAATCGATGAGGGATCTTCATAACTCCGCGCACACATTTGCAGGAAATTCATTACAATTGAGAATTCCATATAACTGCACCTCCAATCATTACACAGGGCTGCATTATACACGATGCAGCTTTTATCCCAGTCAACGGCATTGTTCTCGATAACCATCGGAGAAAACTAAAAAACTGGCTCTCCGATGGCTCGTTTATCGTCAAGAATCAATGTATCTTATTAAAGAGTCGTTTTTGTTTTGCGCGATACTTCGAGAACAATCTTCAAAATGCAATAAAGCTTAGATTTAATAACATACGTCGCTTGTTAGATCTGTCCGTGCTGTCATAACGTTGTCTGTGAGATTTTGCACAACGTCATATATATATACGTACGGGCTTTCGTTGCGGGATCAATGCAGCACGGTGAAATTATATGACGAAAAAGTTTTATTAATGATTTGACGTTCTGAGCAATTAATCTGCTTTGATAAATGATGTAATAATTGATATAATGATACATTAATTGCCCACGCAAAATCGTTTTTACTTGACACGTTCATTACTTACAAACACATGTTATATAAAATGTAATTCTAGCGAACTCACAAAATTAGAATATTTTGTAGTAGAAATTTTATATTATTCTTGATTCTTTGCAGATATTATGATATATAATTATAATACGTTTCAAGTTGAAAGATTGAAATTATATATTTTGGCGAGTGCCAGTTTACGGGTATCGGAGACATATGAGAATGATATTTACATTTATTAAAAGTAGTAATGGAAACGAAACAATCGGCGGCAAATGCATCGGAGGTGCATTTTCCCGTCTATGTAGCCCGGAAAATTGAAGTCACCGTTTCCAATTTTAGTTTCAAACTATAAACGAGAGTATTCGGTGCATTATTCGTGGAGTTTCCGTGTTTGCTTATTTACAGTGAGAAATAAAAAAGCTTTTTTTTCGGGAAATTAAAAAAATGGAACGTTTTTTTACGTCAAAACTAAAATTCAAACATTTTCTCTAAAGTTATTATTATTAACATTGATATACCGTAAACATTTTAAAAAGTTTTTATTATTTATATTGATACACGTATAGGTAGATAAGTGGAACTAAATTTCTTCTGCTTTGATAATAAAAAAAAATAGAGGAAATCATTTTGCGGTTGAGAAATCAAAGTTTGTAAAAAAGAAATGCAATCCACTTTCATATCGTTTCAAGCAGACTGTGCTTAGTCTGAACGTCGCCGTTTTGTATTTATGCGTGCGTATGCTCGGCAACTGTAGGCGGTTATGGCAAAATCGATTACAATCTATATCTAAAAAAAAGATCAGATATCAGAACGGGTTGTGGAGCAACCAATTACAGATTTTTATCTCTTTCCATTTTCAAATAACAGCGGAATCTAAATCCAACACACGCACACACACACAAACCCACAAACTTTAAAATAAAATGCGCGGTAAGTACAATAAAACAAATACCTGTACTATATTGTTAAACAACTTTTTCTACATGGCTGTAAAAAGTTTCTAGAAACGTTTACGCGAGAAAAACATATGAAAGAATAAACGCAAACATCAAACAATTGTGCAATTGCCGTTTGAATTTAGTAAAATGCAGATCAATCACGCGCGTGCATCGTGAGAGAAAAACGAAAAGATTCTTCTCTCATGTTAATTTCAAACGCAAAATCCGCGTTTTCTGACAGCTTGGAATGTTCGAGATAAATAAGATTAATGTCCGCAAAAATGTGAGATGCTGTTACACATTACGAAATAAGAATAACTTCATGACGAGCGCGCGCCACAAGCATCAGAGATTATGAAAACTGGTAATGGGTTTTTTTTTTTTTTTTTTTTTTTTTTTTTTTTTTTTTTTTTGTACTTTTGTTGTTTATTAGTGTAATAAGCGAAATTCTCGGAGAACTCTATTAGCACTAAAATCGTTGCAGCGAAAACTTGTAGAGAGATTTTTTACGCTTTCGCGCTCTTCTGAGTGAGAGAAGTTGCGCGGCGAACTTTTTTCTGGAGAGCAGTTAAATTTAGTTTCATATAGAACGTCAAATTGCACGAGAAAACGGCGTATCGACTTGTTACATTTTCACATCATCTTGATTAACCATTTACGAAACACATATTCGTTCCCTAGGGAAAAGGAGAGAGGAGGGAAGGATTACTGCATCGACTGCCACGTATTCACGAACGGTTTGATTTTACACCCACACTTGTAATTTTTTCACATATCCGCGCTTAAATATACTTTATATCGCATGATGTATATATTTTATGTCTTTATATTGCCATTTATTCGTGTTATCCGTCACGATAAAATCTCAAAGCAAATTGGCGAACAATTCGTTCGGGCGCGGTCCAGTCATATGGTGATTAATCGAAACCATCGAAGGGATCCGGATTCGCGATTAATACAGCGCCGACCGCGGGTGTGTGAGAATATTGAGTTGAGTTTTTTTTTAAACACGTGCGCGGAATATAGGATTAAAATGGTAATGGTATTGGTCATTCATACACATTTTCTGTGCTAAAAAAAAAAAAAAAATGGAGAGATAAAACGCACTTGTGTGATACGCAAGAATCAATTTCCTTTTATCAAACCGATTACGCCGTTCACATTGTTCGTCGTTGCGTTCAGTGTTAAAACTAATTTATATAAGAACCGTCGAAATTTTATCTTTACGCTTTATTATCCTAACGACAAGTGAAAATATCAAAAACTTACACATAAAACGGAAATGGCCGTACAAGCTTTATTTATTTTCGCCTCTCTCGATAATATTATTTAAAAGAATAAAATAGAAACAAAATACGAGAAAAAAACAAAATATTGCAAAAAAGTGATTTCACTTAAACTCTGTTTAATTTTATGTAAAATTTTTTGTATTTCGCAAAAATACCGCATCTCGGTTCTGATTCACTACCAGCCATCGCGAAATATTTTATTGCTCTGGTGTAACAAGATTTTGGCCCCGGAATATCTTCCGCAACAATCCATCCTATTTCATCTTACCGGATCGATAACGATCGCGCGCAATCCCATCGGTCCATTCGTCTTATCCGACTTTCATGCCTCACAGTATCCACCAGCCAGAAAGATTGATACATTATAAAGCATTCTTGCTTGCGCGTTACTAGCGATTATTTATAGTTGATCGGGAGAATTTCTCTTCCGTCGGTCGCTGCGAATAGAATATCTTTATCGCAACTTTCACGAAAAACAAAAAAGCCACGGCGTAGTAAGTGTCAAAAGCTGAATAGACGCGCGATACGTAGTATAATTAAATAAACAAATATAATTAAACGAAGTATAATTAAATGCACAAATTTTTAATTTGAATTAAATTTTAATTGTCACACAAGTCAAGTACCTTATTATGTACAACCTTAAAGAGCCGCTTCACACCGCGACGCGGCGAGACCTGATTTTTTTTCACCGCGCATGATGTTTTCTACAATTTAATAAGAACGCTCGAAAAGTGCTCGACAACTTAAAACGCTTTTCAAAGGAAAGTAAAAAAAAAAAAAAAAGTGAGAAGAGACTCTTCCGCGAGAAACACGGAGTGACACTCTGAAATAATGTACAATTTTAATAAACGCGGAAAATTCCGTATGTTCATTTAATCTTTCACGAACCGACACGTAGCGTTACTTTTAATTATTAGACTCAAGTACGTGCTCAGAATTCCGTTCTCTTTAAACTGCATCTCTTCAATTCCGATTGTCCTTATTCGAACGCTCGTCGTGAATGTAGGGAAACAGCGTTGTAACTCACTTTAAATTCGGCGAGCCCGAGGGAAAGTCCACTCCACGCTTGCTTGCTTGGACCAATAACACTGGCTGCCACAATTACCATTATGAAAAGAGAATTACGAAGCTAAGTGTTTAAATAATCGCGCAACAAATATTGACCGTTAGTCGATTTCGACGCGGTAATTTTCGCGTTAATGCAAACATCGCGTTGCTAGTTTTCCGAGATTACATTCTCTTTCTCTTTGTGACTATATGTTGATATGGCATTTAAATAAATCTCTCGCGGAGACCACTGTAATTGCAATTTGATTACAGCTGAGCTTAAATTAATAATCTTCTCTTCTCTCGCATATAACGTGAAACGGGATTATAATTTTCCTGTCTCTTCATGCGAGTAAAAACCCGCGTTGAATTCTTACTCCATGCGGCAATATTTGTGTACCGAGTATATACACACTCACGCGCTTTTTGTCTATAATTCGTGATTTAAGAGTTTCAATGAAATATCAAATGTTGTGAGTATGTGTGCATATAGTAAAATTATTATATATTGTTTCTTAACAATATTAATATTTATTCGGTGTGATTTCGAAAGACAATTTTTCTCCTTTTGATGGTTCGTTACAAAAACTGTAACTAAGAATATATGACACCGCGATATTTAAATATGTGATTTGCAACACACGCGTTACCTTCGACAAAATATACACACTACGACGGCAAAAAAATTTTGATTTGAACAGGAATACGCTATCTTCGATGTTTCTTCTTCTTGCGTTTTCTGAAAATGCGATTTCTTTCCATTTCCAGCAGTGCTTTATCTTTCTATTCCGTACTCTCAGTTTTATTCCCATAGTTTGTTTGACTTTTCTCATCCAATTTTAGCAAACTCTTCCGTATGTTTGCCTTTTTTTTCGCGATGTGATCCATTTCCATATTTTGTTGAAGCGCGCGCGCGCGTTCGAGCTTATTCCTGTATCCATGACTGTAAAAAGTTTTAAAACTTTCCTGCCGATTGTGCTTTTCATGTATATTCATACTCCGCGACGTGTACATTTCGCGATTTTAATCGATTCAATTCACGTGCGTATCCTTCACAGAATTTACAGTTCAGCTCAATATGTTCCACACACAAACGTTTCATTGCTTTTCTGCTTTTTGCGGGGAAAATTGAAAAAAAATTCAGACACACCTTGTCTCTCCGTTCCACATCAATTGCGACTAATCGACTTACAAAGAAAACAAAATACTAGACAGACAAAACCAATATTACTATTTTTCTTTTTGTCATTTTGGTCTGGTGATTTCTGTGTAGGATATGGACTTCTCGTAAACATCACGATGTTATCGCAAAACACGCGAATCGAAAAACAAAAATCATCATCTATGGATCGAGGGTGAGACGTCATGGCGAATCAATCGACTGATTATCATGAGGACGTTTATCAATGGAACCATACAGCATCGTCGGACGAAGGAGATGCTGAATACTTACCTTACTGGACGGATCTTGTTCTAGCAGGATTATTCACGATGCTTATTATTGTTACTATAGTGAGCAATATCACATCCGTTTTTTTTGACATTTGAATTATATAAACACACATATA